ACTGGAACTGAATGTGGAAACACTCTCTATGGTAGTAATGAGATCCAGCAGTAATCCTGTAAATTCTAAATTGTCCCTTTGGGCAGGGAGGAACTTGCCACTGTATTAAGTGGCTCAGAAGGTTTTAGGCTGACAGTTAAGAATGGTACTTCAGCAGGACAGTATTTCTAGTTAGCCAGGAGAAACAATAGCTTGACCTAAAAATTTAAAAGCAGCTTGTTTTCAGTGCCATCTGCCAAGTCAACATTTTTAGAAAGGTCCTTTTAAATGCACTGGACAATACTGTTATGACACATGGTCACAAGGAGACCTGTAGATGCTCCTGTTTTCTGTCGTAAACCCTGATCGAACCCTTTCTCTGGAGTAGGAAGGAGATTCTGTATTGAGAAGCAGAAGGACCTGATAGGAGGTGCTGAACATGCTGTGCCTACGCATCAATACCAGTGAGGTGCTAAGGTGGTTGGGGCCTGTGTTATTGTGACCCTCCCCGCAACTTTGGAAGGTGGTTTATTACAATCAGTCTCAGTTACAGATTCAGAACTGGTTGCCCAGAGAGTTTTATACCCTGACTAAGGTTTTCCAGCTCTTGGGGCTGTCGGAGTCCTAAGCGGGTTTGTTGACCGCAATCCCTGGGTCCCTTCCTTGCCTCCCCGACCCCAGGAGCTGAGGCTCTGCTCCCCTCTCCTCGCAGGAAGACCTGAAGTCCACTGTCAACCATGCACAGTCCCTCAGTGAAGCGGCAATTGGATTTGACCCCAGAAGAGCTGGACTTGGGCTCTACGTCTCTTGGGGTCCTCCTGCTGATAATCACCATCACCAGAAAGTAGAAGCGACAGCAGTCCACTGTGGTTTTGAGAGTCAATCTGGAGAAAATTAGATCTCTTACTAAGAAAAGTCAGGGTAACCAAAAGTGAAAGGTCACAAGGAGAAAGGCGGCTTAGGACGAGAGGACCCCAAGAAGCCCTTTCTACAGCCCTTTCTATGCCGCGGAGACCTTCACACCTGTCAATCGGGCATCCTTGGACGTAAGTTCAAGAAGATAAACTCAGTGGGAACAAGAGCATGTATGTGAACAACCACTGCCCAGAGAGGCGGGCTGGCTGGGGGCAAAATGTGAGTAAGGCAATGAGCAAAACGTGTAACAGCCCGCCCCTCCTCCTCATCAGCTATTATCACCTATCAAAACGAACACTTGAGGCCAAATGATTAAATATCCAATATTATCAAAATAATTTTTGATATTAGAGCATCAACATACTGCCATATCATGAAGTCATTCAAAATAATGGTAACTATTACCATGCAATAGAGCAAAAAATGTATTCATAACGCATTATATTAAAACACCACAAATGTACATGTATTTATTGATATTCTTTCTAGAATTTTAAAAAGTTTCAGTTTCCTAAATTTTCATCTGAATAGAATTACAAAAGGCTTTAAGAGAGTATGTTGTTTACATCTCCTCCCAACAGAACGTCTGACTCAGAGAGATGTAATTCTCCCTAAAGTAAAAGAAATGCTAAGTGTTGCAAAATATCATTTAATGTGTGTCTGTACTACCTATCATTTACTCATTAAATTACTATAATTTTTGATTAAGGAAGGGAAAGAATTCAAAGTACAGATATGACAAACTGTAAAAAAGACATATGATTAACAGTGAGTAAATTAAACAAAAGGATGCAGTCATAACACAACAAAGAAAATACAGGACCCCAGCTAGCAAAGTCTAACTGAGAACGAGGCTCTGTCAAAGACGGCTGCTCTACTTCTCAATCCTTTCTTTCACTCCAAGAGTATTGATCGAGAGCCTGACACTCGTCACTCTTTCAGGGGCTGAGAAAAGAAATTCCTTGCCCTTGTGGAGCTTCCAGTGTGGGGTGAAAGAGAAACAAACAAGTAAACACTTAAATTGTTAGATGCTGCTGCTGCTGTCGCTTCAGTCATGTCCGACTCTGCGCGATCCCACAGACGGCAGCCCACCAGGCTCCCCCGTCCCTGGGATTCTCCAGGCAAGAACACTGGAGGGGGTTGCTATTTCCTTCTCCAATGCACCAAAGTGAAAAGTGAAAGAGAAGTCGCTCAGTCGTGTCTGACTCTTAGCGACCCCGTGGACTGCAGCCCACCAGGCTCCTCCGTCCATGGGATTCTCCAGGCAAGAGTACTGGAGTGGGGTGCCTTTGCCTTCTGTTAGATGCTGTTATGTACTAAAGAAGGCAAGAGGAGAAGGGGGTGGCAGAGGATGAGATGGTTAGATTGTATCACCAACTCAATGGACATGAGTTTGAGCAAACTCTGGGAGATAGTGAAGGATAGGGAAGCCTGGTGTGCTGCAGTCCCTGGGGTCACAAAGAGACGGACCACAACTTAGTGACTGGACAACAGCAACAACATAATGTTATTTACATAAAAATGCAAACATGAGAATCTATCTTAGCTTTGCGTTAGTACAACAAGTTAAGTGACTGAACAACAACAGCTAAAGAAAGATAAATAAAGCAGTGGGACATAGCATAAATGAGGTGGAGAAGGTGGGAGGACCTTGTAATTTTTAAAAAATATTTATTTATTTGGTGGTGCTGGGTCTTTGTTGTAGCATGTGGGATCTTTAGTTGTGGCACAGCAGCTTAGTCGCCGCACATGAGATCTAGTACCCCGACTCGGATGGAACGTGGGCCCCTGCACTGGGAGTGCAGAGTCTTAGCCCTTGGACCACCAGGGAAGTCCCTATAATCTTAAATAAGATAAGTAAGACAGACCTGAATGAGAAGCTGATATTCCTGAGAAAGCAGTTGGGAACTGGGCTTTGCAGATACCTAGGGAAAAGTTTTACCAAGGCAAGAAAACGCAAGGCAAAGGCCCTGGGTCAGCATCACAGAGGGCATGGGTGAGGAGCAGCGAGGAGGCCATGTGTGGTTGGAGGGAGGCATTTAAAAAAGCAACAGGAGGCCAAGTCACATGGACTATACATTTCATGATTCACTCCAGAAAAGAGAATGAATATTTCCTACTAAGGTAAATGCACGGAGTTTTTAACTTAGGGTGTTGGTTAAAATGCTAAACTGTATGAGTGAAGGCAGGTCAGTAAAAGACACAAGGCACTGACCAAAGGAACAAATAAGAAGAAGGTATTTAACATAGACTTTGCAGGGTCGAGGGAAATTCTGGACCCAGGGAAGCAGTCCAACATCGCATCCAGATTTACTGTGTTTGTTTTATGACTGTATGAGGGATTTTGCTTCATTCCAAACCTTAGGATTCTGTTTCGCTGCTTCCTTGCCGTCATGTAAAAGTTCCCCTTTCGTGAATAGTCTATAGAGCCTGTCACCCTACTGGAGCTCTGGCGCAAGGCTTTTCAGCCAAGACGGACATTCTGGGTTGGGTAATTCTTTGTCGTGGAGGCTGTCCTGTGCATTATGGGATGTTAACAGCACTTCTGGGTTCTACCCATTAGATGCCAGCAGCAATCCCCACCCCCAGCTATGATAACCCAAACAACCAAAAACATCTCCAGACGTTGACACATATTTGCTGGGGTGGGGAGAAAAAGCTGTGCCCTCTTGGGAATCACCGCTCTAATGCGAACAGACAAAAACCTCATCTCAATTTGTCAACTTTGTTCCAAATACTTTCCTGCCTCAGGGCCTTTGCACGGCTATACTCTCTACTGAATCTTTGTCCCAGGCGACTCCTACTCGTCCCTCAAGCCCTCTGGGGAACTTTCCCTGATCTGGAGCATGAGCATGTCAGGTGTTCCCATTATATGTTCATTTGTATATATATATTTTTACTTTGTTGAGACTACCACAGTTGCAATTAAATAATGATTTTGGTCATCATTATTAATGTCTCCTCCATTTCAGCAAAAACTCTATCAGTCTCATTGGCTCATATATCTCCAGAGCACTCAAAGAAGGACTCAAATTTATACAGAAAAGCATTTTGTTGTTGTTGTTCAATTTCTCAGTTGTGTCCGACTGTGACCCTAGAGATTGCAGCATGCCAGGTTCCCCTGTCCTTCACTGTCTCCCAGAGTTTGCTCAGATTCATGTCCACTGAGTCGGTGATACCATCCAACCATCTCATCCTCGGCCGCCCCCTTCTCCTGCGGCCTTCAGTCTTTCCTAGCATCAGGGTCTTTTCCAATGAGCCGACTCTTTGCATCAGAAAAGCATGTTACTGGCCAACTTTGGTATTTTATTACAACAAATTATTACGTGCCTCATATCAATCAAAGTACAGTGATACAGACCATGGCTTAATGATAAATCTCTTTGGTCAAAATCTTGACTATGAATACACTTTACTTGAGGGTACATTCTTCCCTTTTGTTAACAATGTCATGCAAACACTGTAATGGTGATGAGAGGAACAAAAAGGCCCTTTATTAGATGACAATGAATGAGCCAGGGAACAGAGTGGCTGTAACTGAGGCCATCTCTCTGGCTCTTTTGAACTCCTTATAAGCATTTATTTTAATACAATTTATTCCACACAGCAGACACCATATTATATTGCTTACTCTTGTATGTCCCAGAGCCTCAAATATATTTAAATTCATCATAAGAGGTTAGTATTCTAGGGCCCACAGATGAGTTGCAGAGTATATAATAGACCCTTGAAATTGTACATAAAGACCTAGAAACACTTTCTAGGAATAGGGTCTGGAATTTTTATATGCTTCTCAAAGGTGGCAATATAAGACCCACCGTCTCATATGATTTCATTTAACTTTAAAACTTCACGGGAGGGACTTGCTTGGAGGTCCAGTGGTTAAGACTCTGCACTTCCAATGCAGGAGACACAGGTTTGATTCCTGGTTGGGGAACTAAGATCCCACATGCCTAGCGGCACGGTCAAAAAATAAATAAAATAGATAAGCAACAAGGATTTACTGTATAGTACAGGAAACCATAAAAACAAGCAAACAAAAACTTGAAGGGATAGTCCCATCATCTTTGCTCCACCTCTTAAGAAGAAAAACAAATTTTAGTTACCGATTTCCTCTCCTGCTTTAGTTCCTGGACGTAGCGAGCTAACTCCACAATGATCTGAGAGGTCATATTCTCGGAGATGACTTCATGCTGCCCAGCATAATCGTTCATTTCATTCAGGGTGGAAAGGAAGGCTTTGCAAGCCGTATACCTACAGAACAGAACACACACCACTCCTTTTCAAACAGGGCACATCCTCTCACAAACGGCTTCCCGCCAGCAAAAGAGCAATTAACATTAATATCAGGGTGATGTGCCCCCAGGTCCCATAGGGTCTTGACAAATTCATTACACATTAGGGTGTTCTCATCAAAATGGAGCAGAATTAATTACAACTGGAACATTTCTCATTGTGCGAAGCCAAATTGCTCTATATCGGGCAACACTTGGCTTTGTTACTAACTCAGGTAAAACCAAAATACATATACCTACTAATATGTACTAATGTCATGGATATTTAGATCTAAATTAGAGATGATACTTTTGGGCTATTCATGTTAAGATGTCTTAACTGCTGTCTGAAATGGACATATTTCCTGGATGAATGAGACACCTGATATTATCAAGATGTAGAGTGCACAGTCCATCCGCACTTCCTGTATTTGCTTATAGGCTAAGCTTTTCCTAATTACCTTAATTGAAGCAATCTGGACTAGGTCTAGCGCCTCTATAAGAAAAGTTACTTGAGTAAGTTTTTATTGTCTTTCCCCCAGTTTAAAAATTGACACAAATATGAATGAGGAATGCAATTTGTTTTTGTAGATACCCTATATCTACAGAATATATGTAGATTTCTTTTATAATCATCACCAATGACATATATATACGGCCACATAACAATCAATGATAAACACACCTGTATTCTTCTTCCTCCTTCGAGTTCTTTTTAGGTTGGTATTTCTTTGAAAGATTCCTAAAACAAAAAGGCAGACAGGTCACCTTATGCAGAAAGATAATTGAGAAATCAGGGATAAAACATGAAGGTAGTGTTTTTGTTTATAAGTTAGAAAGTCACAAAATGTTCACAGCTGAAATCCATTTATTTCCTTCCATCTTTCAATGTGAAAGACTTGCATAGGTTTGAATCTTTTAGCTATAGATAGAGCAAATAAGAATAGACACGTTCACCAGCTGGTCACTTACCTGGATGTTAAGACCTGACATTATTTAACTAGAGAGGGTAGACCACGGGTTTCTATGCAGTGGCTTTTATTTACAGCACTGAGCTGGGGTAGTTTTTCTTACCAGGTTACCATCCCGTATACTCATCCTCAGTCAAACATTATTGCTCTAAATCCAAGGCAAACATGTGGACTGGGTCCGAATGTTTAAAATTAAAATTTAAAGGGCATGTTTTCAAGGCTGTGTGGCTTCTCTTTCAAAGAGCTAATGAAAACCACTTGTGTGAATAAGTCTCCTTGAAGGAAGTAGAAACAATATTTGGAGGGATGTTTATGCTAAGACATTTAACTAGGAGAACTTTTAACCTGTGTAGCAGACTCACACTGAACACACTCAGACTAGCCAAAATTGCTCTAATCTCTCTTCTTAATCCCACCCCCAGGTCAAGAATCCAAATACTCCCCTCTACATTCCGTGTGCCTAAATTTTCATAAAAACTAAGAGTGATCTTGAAAAAAGAAAATTCACCAATGGCTCCACTGATTGATTTCTCTCGGGTCCTATTTTGGCTTCTGTAGTTAGAACAGCCGTAGACAGAGAAGGTGTGGTACACATGCGCAGTGGAATACTATGCAGTCATAAAAAAGCGTGAAACAACGCGATCGGCAGCAACATGGACGGACCTACAGACTATGATGCTAAGTGAAGTGAGTCAGAACGAGAAACGCAAATACCAGAATACGGCACAGGGGAACCTGTCTATGAAACAGAAACAGACTCACAGACACAGAGAACAGGCTTGTGGTTGTCAAGGGGAGGGTGGGAAGGGGAGGCATGGACTGAGCATTCGGGATTAGTAGATGCAAACTATTACCTGTAGAATGAATGGACGATAAGGTCCTACTGAATAGCACAGGGAACTATATTCAATGCCCTGGGATGAACCATAATGGAAAAAAATATGCAAAAGAAGTGACTCAGTAAGTATATGTGTAAATGAGTTACTTTGCTGCACAGCAGAAATGTATCTAACATTGTAAACCAACTACACTTTAATTTTCACAAAAAAGAAGAAGGGGAGGAGAAAGAACAGTCCTAGGAGGTGACTAGCAGTCCACAGTGAGACTCTCCGAATGACACCATTTCACTATTCACTTCTCTTTTTATTCCCTATTGCTATTCCTCTTTCATAGTAGCTATTTTCATTATTTCACATTTAATTTCTTTCATTTCCCCTGAATCTACAGATGTGCCTAGAGGAGTATACAGTAATAAATTTGCAATTTTGATCATGGTACATTTTACAGACAGAGTGAAACGTGAGTTCGTCTCCAACAGGTGTTACTAGATGACACAAGAGGCAGAGGACTTCAGTAAAAAGGACATTGCTCTGGGAATCCAGAGAGCATGTGTCTGGGTGGTGTGAACTCGAACAAATCAATGGGCAAGTCTGTGCTTCCAGTTCCTCATCTCTAAAACCCCGAGGCAGGGGCGTGAAATGACCTCTCTTGTCCCTTAAAGTTTTGAAATTCCAAGGGAATATATATCACCCAATAGAATAGTGATTGCCGCAATTACTTTAAAAAGGCAGGGGTACATAACAATTTAAAATTTTTAAGTAGACAAACTGATAAAAGAAAAATGTACTGACTTGGAGGTTGCTATCACATGAGCTGTGCTTAAACTACATCGTGTTTTTTCTACTGATACTCTCACAGCAAAGATTATCTGGTAGATTTAGATTCAAAAGACTGTGAAGAAGCAGTATTTCCTAAATATTAAATATCTAAAGCAAGTGCTTTAGAGAAAAACAATCATGCAGAAAAGAGAAATCTTACATATCGATAACACAGTGTAATTCTTGGAGTTGGTCTACCACATTTCATCTTTAAAGATTTGGGGACTTCCCTGGTGGTCCCGTGGTTAAGAATCTACTTTCCAATACAGGAAACGTGGGTTTGATCCCTGGTTGGGGAACTAATATCCCACGTGCTTGGAGCAACTAAGCCCCTACACCACAATGTAGACCCAGTGCAGTCAAAAAAAAGATCTAATAAAAACAGTAGCTCCAATTTACATGTACCAGGAATATTAAAAGGGGAGCCATGTAAAGCAGATGACTAGAAAATCAATAGATTCTTTCACAAATATATTTAAAGCAGCATATATGTGATCTGCACTATTGAAAAGTCTAGAAGTTTCATGAGCTATTTTTAGTGCATGGTTTTAAATATTGACCATTTTCTTCTGCTAACCATAAACTACAAATGGAAAAATGCCACTTCTAAATTCACACCTTATACAAAAATCCATTCAAAACTGTTATTTTAGAGGTTTATTTAAACTCACACTTTCTTTTTAGCTTCCAGTCCTTTGCCATAAAAATAGTTCAAATTTTATACCTAACTGAACGAAGCAGAGCTTGACGAGATCCAGGAGAAACCAGCAATTTTTATAGTTCCGTTTTCCCAGTCAAACCCCAAAGAGGACTAAAGACCTGCTGTGGGTGATCTCCAGTAAAGATGGTCCACTTCTGTGCATGAGTATCAGTTTGACAATGTTAAACATGTATAGCATTCAAACGCTTCTTAAAAGCATCAATGAATAATTCACTCTATAAATGCTAACAGAAAACCAAAACCTTAAGAGGTCTAGAAGAGAACTTCAGATCCAAAGATACTGCTGTCAGGGACCACTACAAAAAAAAAAAGAGTAATTGCCTTTCCATTCTCTCGAAATGGGCTTTCTTGCCCTATTTGTATGAAGCTATTTTAAAAATAAGCAAGCAAATAAACCACCAAAAGTAACTTTAAAGTTATGAGATCTTTCTGAGAAACAAGTGTTTTATATATTTGCTCTTCAGATAGGCTAATTAAAAGGTAGGAGGAAAATACACAGCTTTTAATAAAAACACTAGACTTAAATTTGGTTGTTCCTAAGAGCTGCCAGCAGGCTTTTAAAAAGGAGATGCTTAGGCACCATTTCAGATCCTCTGAAATGGAAGGTCTAGGGTTGGACCCAGGAAATCTTTTTTTTCTATCTTTCTTTTATACTTTTAAAAGCTCACTGCAGATTTCCAGATAAAGATGGCAAAATAAAATCTCATCAGAGAATTGTGCTTTTTTCCAACAAGAGGTGAAATAAAAGCCAGGAAATTTTCCAGAGCAGAAAATAAACCAATGAAGAAAGGCACATAACCTCAGTCTACACACTTTGAGAAGTGGTGGGTTATGTGAGGGATGGTAGGTTCTAGAACAAGTGTATAACAGATGCTTGACCCCTCCCTCACAGTCACTGGAAGGGGAATAAGTCCACGGAAAATGGACTGACTGAAAATTGAGTCGGACAGAAGTAAAATGAGGCCTGAGCCAGCACTCAGGGAACAGAGACAGCAAAGTTCGGGAAGAAAGACAGAAAGACGGAGCACCCAGAATCCAGGACTTGGCTGGGGCCGGGGCTGGCCACCTGGGTTTCCACCTCCCAGGGCTGCAAGCCAAATGCCGGGGGGAGATCACCCCAAACCTAAGGATTCCCAAGGAATAGGAGTGAATGCATGTGACCTAATGGAGTGAATGTCAAACCAGAAACACTAACAAAATTTCAGAAGAGACAATGAAACTCAGAGTCTCAAAGACAAGAGGTACAAAATTAGGTGCCCCGTGGGGTTAACCGAAACTGGTGACTAATACGAATTCTTGAGCTTGCCTTCCAGTTTGTTAAAAAGCCCTCCGCTTGTAACCTGCCTTCACCATTCAAGCTTGCCTTCTTGCTACAAAAGCCTTGCTTGTATTCCAAGCATCATGCAGCTGAAAATGGTAAGATGTTGCCTGGGAGAGTCAGCTGTGTTGGGCTCAAGTTCAAGCCAACTAACACTGCTTTTGTGTCTTAGTTGCTCAGTCATGTGTGACTCTTTGAGACCCCATGGACTGTAGTCCACCAAGCTCCTCTGATCATGGAATTCTCCAGGCAAGAACACTGGAGTAGGTAGCCATATTCTTCCCCAGGGGATCTTCCCGATCCAGGGCTCGAACCCAGATCTCCTGCATTGAAGGTAGATTCTTTACCATCTGAGCCATCAGGGAAGCCCCACCTAAAACTGGAGCTGCACAGGTGTCCAGTGAATGGCCTTTTGATGGCATAGGGTCAGAAACTCCACCCCCAGATCATGCTAAGCACCTCCATTTTGGAACATGCATCCCACAAAGAAGCAAGTAACTCAAGTAACCCTGCACAGAAGACGAATGACCTCAACCTACCTGCAATCATCTTTCTCCACACCTAAGATCAACCACCACCCTGCTTCCTTAATAAATATCCCAAGCCTCTTGCCTTCCAGGAGGCTGATCTGAGACTTGTTCTCTTGCCTCCTCCCTTGGCTGCCTTGTGAATGAACACTTTCTCTGCTGCAAACCTCAGCATCTCAGTGTTTGGCTTACTGCATGTTGGCCAACAAACCTGGTTTGGTAACACTTTCCCCTACCCTTACCCTGTAATGGAGACAAGGCAAGACCAGTGGCACCAAAGGACAGCAGTGATCGTTCACCAGATCAAACAGGAGCACCGGTGACTCTTGTTAATACCAAAAACATGCTTAGACATCAACCTAAGACACTTAGATGCTTTATCTCATTAAGACCCCTCAACAACCTTGTAAGGTAGGAAAGATCATCATCCTTATTACTCACATATTACAGATGAAAAAGACAAAGCACATAGAATAATTTGCCCCAAATCATTATTACTGTTAAGTGGAAGAACATTCCAGACACTAAGACTCTAGAGCGGGGTCGC